ACGGCGATCTCCAGCCCGCCGCCCAGGCACACGCCATCGATCGCCGCCACCGTGGGCTTGGCCCCGGACTCCAATCCCTCGCCGAATGCCTTTCCAACCCATCCTGACACTCCCGTCTTTGCCAAGCTCGCATCCGGGGTCCTGAATTGGGCGACGTCGAAGCCGGCGGAGAACTTGCCGTTGGCGCCCGTGATGACGATCGCCTTGACGGAGGGGTCGGCGTGGGCAGCCCTCAGGTGGGCGAACATCGCCCGCAGCACTGCGGGTCAACTCAACTCAGGGTCATGGCCGCAGCGGTGGCGATAAACAATCCAACGGCCAGAGCAAATGGAGCACCCGGACTCCCAACGCAGCGCTGTTCGGGGGTGGGGAGAAATTCCAAATCATCGCGAGCGTGGTTTACGTGGAAGCACGCGCGTACAATGTGAAATTGCGCCCTCCCAGGCAGCAGCTGGTCCAGCCGTCGGCCCATCAAGGCCCGTCGCTGCGCAAGCCGCACCGAGCGCACGCCGGCAGTCGCTTGCAAGCCATTCCATCGCCCTCTCCCATCCCCCTCCCCAACCCAGCTGCCACGAATCCTCAACCCGCGGATGAGCACAACAACAAGCTGACCCGCGAACCACTCCACTCCGGGGGAGAAGGAGGGAAAGAAAGAACGCGCCTGCGGCCATTCCCCCACAGGTAATCCCCGGCGCCCTGTGCCGCCCAAACGCCAAACCGAATCTCCAATCCCATAGGCACGCAGCCCATCGGTCGATCGTCCCCAGCCGGCCCCGCGGCACCGCCGCGCTGGGCTCACCGTCCGGGTGCAGGGCGTTCATGGGAGGGTTGTCGATCGTGATGAGCGCCACGCCCGCGGCGTCCACGCCCATGGTCGCGCGCCGATGCGCCACGCCGTCGATCCTGCCGCTCGGTGTTCAGGTGCGGCGCGCGGGGCGGCGTCGCTTTTGGCCGTCGGCTGCGTCGTCGCGGGGGCGGGGCGGCGAGAGGGGGCGCTGTGGCGTTTTGGGGGCGGATTGGAGGAGCGGGAGTCCGCAGTTCCAGGTCACTGTCCGCATCAGCGTGAGTTGGATGTGGTAACGGGCGGAATGCGGTAAATGTACAGAGTCATCATCATCGAGTTGATGTGGTCATGACGAAGGCAGGAAGGGTGGAGGGGAGGCGACCCCCGAACGGGCACCGCAGGCTCGACTTCACGGCAACGGTTACCAAGGCACTCCTGAGTTCGTTTCTTTCCTGGACACGGGGAGTGATTGGGGCGTCCGGTAAAAACAGTTTCCTTGGGAGCCTGTCGCAGTGTTGGGGACAATGCACAACATTGCCTAACAGGCGCTTCGTCATGTCTTTCGACAAATGTAAAACCGCAATTCGCCGCTGCCATTCATGCACCGCAGCAGGCACAGGGCTCACACTCTCCGATGAGAAAACGTCAAAACACACAAACACGAATCAACGCTCCAAGGGGCATGGCCACCATTTCGCCCCGCGAATGCAAAACTGTCAGCCAGCGTCTCTGGCAATGCTCCCCAGTCCGGTTCCTTTCGCTCGACGCTCGATCCCCCTTGAATTGCTGCAGAAAAGAAGGCAAGAGAGAGAGAAAAAAGCTCTCAGCAGGCCACATCCTCCCATTCCGATCCTTTTTGGGTCTCACCCGTTCGCCACTGCCCCCAATCCGAGTCTTGCTGCGCAGAGTCTGCGCCACAGAGCCCATCGCAGACAGCAGCAGATCTCAACTCTCAGTGGGGGCTCTCTCGCAGACCCTACATCGTGCTGAAAGGCTCCTGGATCCACTCTGCCGTCTCCCAGCAAGAGTCAGCGAGGATCTGCGCACGCGCCTTTCATCAACCCCACTATCCCTCCGCTCAGCTTTCACACGTTGAAACAAGGTGCTCACATCACAGTATGAACATCTATAGCACCAGCCACAAGGCTTCCCTCCCATGCCTGTCAAATACATTAAGCACAAATCTATTTGCATGTTGCAATAGCGCACATGAAGTGAAAGCACCACAGCTGGTCTTCCCAGCGTACGAACTTGTGTCAATGTGCTACAAAGGCTGGACGCCTGCAAACAGACTAGCTTTAGACAGTTTGAGTTCAGGTCGGCTTGTGATCGTCGTGCCAGCAATGGGTCGTGCCGGTTGGGGCTACACAGTGGCGGTACACACGCCGCGTGCAATCGCCACTGCTCACTCTGCGAATGCTTCCCTTCCGTATGACAACTTGTGTGCAGCCTCCTAATTCGCAAAGGCTTCCAAATCGTCGATGTCGTCATACATCTCCTCCTCCCGTTCCGCAAGGATGCTCCTGATGCGCTCCATCTACATGAAAGACCAACACATCTGATCAAGTGCTTTCGTGGACGTCAGGCATTCGCAAACTTTAGCACTTTGCACACGCCAAACCCGATTTCAAGGCATTCGAGTTCTGGGGATCACACAGTACCAATTGAGAAAGGAGCACCAATGAGCCCTGGTGGACAATCATGGGCGTCGTTGTGGTAAAGTTATGTGTCAGATTTAATGGAAGGATAATTGGTGGCTTAAGACAGTCAGAACGCCAACAATACAGCAATTACACTGTATCTTAGCGCAGTACCTCCCGCCCCCACCTGCTCCACTGCATGTTGATACATATGCTGTATTTTATCTGAAGACAGTAGTTGGACTATGCGACACACAATCGTGATGCAGTGATTCCTGGCCCCACCTGCTCTTCTGCATGCTCATACAAGGCTGCCTGTCTTTCAACTTGTGCAGATCGTAAAATTATTTGATGTGGCAATATCCGGTGCCAATAATTTACATGTTGAGAAGTATATTGCGATCTCTGGTGGCATGCACCTGGTGAAGCTACAAGCATCTGGTTTTGGTAAGCACAACTTCAATGCAGGATTGCCTGGCCCCACCTGCCCCTATGCGTGTTGGTGTGCATGCTACCTATCCTTCGCCATGTGTACATCATGTATATGTCTAACGTGGCAACACCTGGTGACAAATATATAGTTTTTGCAAGCAGAACTTCCATGCAGCACTGCATTGACCCACCTGCTCCTCTGCATGTTCATACACATACTGCCTGTCCTTCACCATGTCGCCCGGCTGCTCTTCGAGGTCGGCGGTGCTGCAGGACAGGCGGCTGAAGTCGTCCTCCATGCCCAGCACCACCGCGCACACGCGATCGCCAACCTGGAAGATGTCCTGCAGCATCGGCACACGAATCCATGATCCGCAACCCATGGCATACATACTATATTTTGATGCATGTTGTTACACGAGCAGCAAATTACGACAATCATTTCCGCCCCTTGATGGGCACCATGTTGTGGGCACACGCATCCAATGATCAAATCTGTGCAAATGTGCAAAGGTACTGTTCTTACCACGCACATTTTCAATCCATCAGGCACATTTTGCATCCATCTTAGGGCACCTGATTGTCATTGATGTCAGAGGATTCACCAATTGGATGAGTGTGGTTGCCACATTAGAAGAGACTTCTGCATCATCTTGAAAAGTACAGAAAAGAGTGCCATGTGCTGTTCCAGGCTCAGTGTGATGAACGCCATTTCAGTCCAGATCAATCCGATCAATTAGATTGTGCCACAATGGACCTACCCACCACAGAGGGGACAAAACAAAGGGCCTTCAAAGCTGATCGAAAGAAAGAATGTTTGCCTGCTGTCAAGGGAGAGGGAATGGGCAGTGGAGGATCAACACAACAATGAATGGGAAACATGCCATTCGATGGAATGACATGTCTGACAACATGTTGCAAAATGAGATGCGACACAATGGGACAGCATGTTGTACACTTGCCAGCCACCCCTTCTTTGAGCACAGACAAGGTAATAATCCATTCCATAGTGTGAAAGATAGATCATAAACATCGGAAGGTAGAAATGTCTGAATGTAGATAGGATGTGCTATGCCAAAAGGGCCAACTCCACTGTCTTTGATTCCAAAATATTACGACAAAAAACATACAAGATACACAAGAGCCCTTACATTACAATAGGATCTATTCTTTGACGATCATAAACTAGCATGGAACAGTACATCAATTGATCGGTCCATCAACCATCAATACCAATAATCAATGGTATCATAATCAATTCATCAGTTCACTAGTGAAGGTGAACCCTTACATCTACTCTTGAGAATCTTCCCTTGGAGATGTTCGACCTGTGGATTAGGGCACTCTCGTGTGTCCCATCGACACCAATGAAGGCTCCCCATTCCAGCACCTGCACAGCAACACAAGGTGAATGTTAACACCCCCAGCCAAAATTGCAATATCTACCTTTCACGGCCTCTTCAATTTTCACGATCAACAACAATGAAAATCCCCGCGACAGATCATGTCAATATCACAAAAGATATAACTCTAACCTTCAGCAATCACAGTTCAAACTGTTGGAAGCACTCAACCCTTTCCAGCTTACCACAGCTCACTTGGTTCCAGGACAATCATGAACACCATTTCATTCAGCGCCATCGCTTCCTTTACCTCCATTTTGCCTTGTGATGCGTAGAGCACAGACCTTTTGCTGCTTGTTTTGACATTTCGCAGCAGCAGCAGCAGCAGCAGCAAATACCACCCATGCACTTTCAAGGCCAAGTTCACACATACTGGCGTGCCAGATGTGCCATTTAAACGACATCTACTCATGCTTTCCCCACAGAGATACAAACCTTGCCTGCCATTGTGATCTAGAAAGAAAACAATTTGTGCCTTGAGACAGAACGAGAACAGCCCCGACTCTTTCAGAATATACCCTGCCCCCAAACGCTTGCATTCAGCTCACAACAGTATGTTTTACCAGCTAATGTGATGTGCCCGATGTGCACTGATCGAAGTGTGTAGTGTATCCTGTCAAAATATGGGAGCCTTTGCTACTCAAAACGTTTTTGCATCCAAACACAGGACTAAAGGGTGTAGGGCGTGTAGTTGCAAGGGGCAAGGATTAAATTACCTCTGATGCAGCCAAACATTAACATTCTGCCTTGAATTATAATATGCCAAGCACTGTAGATTGGGTCTGGGGTTCAGGGTCTACTAAAAGACTATGATTTCGACCACATCGCTCATAAGATGTCCACTATTGCCTGTATCAGCCGATCAGGCAATTTCTCCCAGGAGATGAATCACAACAACTACTGGGTTCAGTATGCCAAATATGGCAACTGAGAAGCAGATAGATTCATGTTGCTCTGGCCTCAACATTGTGCGTTCCCATCCCTCTGTGCTTGTCTCAAGTTTCCAAGCCAGTTTATGCAAGCGAGTGCTCTTGAACAGACCATGTTGATAGGACACTGCTCGCAATCACAGCGCAGGTGCAAGGCAGTGTTTGCCACAGTTGGCAACTGCAAACGAACAGATTCTTGCATCTTCATGGTTTCCCACAAAGGATTCAAGCTGTGCGAGGTTTCAGGGCTGCTCGGAAACAGATGCTGCCTTATGATCTGAGCTGTAGAACACCATGGGCACTGTGCCATAGCCACTGTGCCACTTTCCGGTTACTGTAAAGGATACAAGCCACCATTTCCATGAGGGTTCTGGCCTTGACCTTACCAAGGATGCTTCCTACTGTGCACTGCATGCTTTCAGCTGTCGATTTCAACTACTTATAGAGCATTTCGTTTGGGGCATCACCTCGATTTCAGCAAAAATATGAGTCAAAGACCAAATTCATGTCCATCAAGGTGGTTTGGAAGATCCAAACAAGCCAAGGCATGCCACAGTGTGGAATCCATGCTGCTTCTAAGCCAGCGTGTTCCCCACCTTCCTCACAGTTCCCCACACCAGGGCCCCAGGCCTAAGGTTCTTGAGGTTCATGTACTGCTCAGCACGCTTCATTGACAACACCACCCTGTCATCGACAGGATCCACCTGAATGATGGCAGTCTCAATGTCCTTGTCCTTGTACCTCTCCAGAAATTCCTGCCCGGCAGCAGACAATGCTAAGATTTAACAAAACTTTAGATTTTGTAGGTGTGGTTTTACACGCTGTACAGTGTTCTAACAATATTCAATCCCATCCATCAATTGGGTTCTGTCCTAGTACTTAGTTGCTTCAGTACAACAAGGCGAATACATACTCGCCTGGAAAATCTTACCGGTGTCGGACAGCATTTGGTGTCTCGGCACCTGATCGCTTCACAGGGCCTTAGGATAAGAAAATCTGTTCAGTTCTACAACACATCACAGTACTTGACCATCCCAGCATGTTGTGCCAGACACTCACGTGCCCAGCACCTCTCCCACAGACAGGGCACCGCCCGGAGCCCCTACACTTGAGTGCAGCAAAGTGCCAAAGAACAAGTACTTCAGTGTTTGGATAGTGTGCTAGTTCTTAGCCATGCCAAATCGCCTGTGTGCATCTGTTCAGACACATTGCTGTCCAGAAACTTCTGCGCACACTGGAGCCACTTAGTACGGCACTGAAGTGCACATTTTCATTTCGCATTTGACCAGCACTAGATTTATTCAGAGGACCTAGTTGCCCCAGTGCATTGTTTCACACAATCCCTTATGTAAAAGGCGCTGCATAGTTTTGTACAGTGCTTGCTGACTCCTCATCTAGCACAAAACCCTGCAAGCTAGGCTTTCTAAGCTACGACAGATCATTGGCCAGTCACTCCAAAATTACAAATCGTCATCGATGAAGCATCAATTCTTGGACCATCAACCATCGCCATCGACGTTGCCAATTGTGAAGACAGGGCATTGCTTTCTCTTGTGACAAATTCAGCGATCAGCAAATGGAGGGCCCAGAACATCCTCACCTCCTGTGAGAGGTGCTTGATCTCATCGTCCAGGATGTGGCTCTTTGGGACAAAGCATGCCCTGCCGGCCATCAGCACCTTCAGACCCCCCCTGTTCACTGAAAACACGCGGGTCTTCCACACCTCCCGATCCTGCAGTCGAACATTCATTGCAAGATATGAAAACATGCAGGCAGCTGCCTTCTCAGCAAACAGGTGGCACCTTTTTGCACACTGTGTCAGACCCTGTGCCAGATTGTGGAAGAAGGTGCTGAGAACTCTTGAGTGAAACAGTAAAGAATGCAACAGACAGACTGTAACAAATGTTCCAGACAATGTCCTCCGGGTGCAAGGCACTGTGCAGCGGCACTTCTTGACAAATGGAATGAAAGGAGTTGCAGACAACAAGAAAACACAGTCAGCTGTGCAAGAGCGCACACCTGAATAAACTAACAGTCGCAAATGAACGCTGTGGATGGAAGTATCCTCATGCTAGGCGCCCGGGACTCGTCAGGTTGTGTTTAACAAACTTCAAATGTACTTAAGATTGAGAAGGTGAACTGAATGGATGCAACTGGATTGAGCATATGCGCCAATAAGGGATGCACTTAGGGGACCAAATCATGCAATGGTCAAAGTGCATCGGTTGGGAGTTCCCCAACTCCCTGTGAGATTATAGTGGCTGATTTTGGAGGCTGACTCCGATTCGAGTGGCATACAAACCACATTCTGCTCCTTTGTCGTATCTAATGGTATCCTCCTGTGGCCAGGCAAGCTGCAACAGTCACAGGGCTATTTGAGATGCGGCCAGCCAATGGCAACACCTGTGAACAGAATTGTGAGTGCTGCCACAGCATTCGCTGGTCAGCAAAGCTCTTTCGGGACAAAGTGCCTCCCCAGGAATTCCATCAGTCCTTGTCTCTTTCCTAAACACTTATCATGAACGTACAGTTCAGCATGATTTTGCTCCATTTCAGAGATGCATGTCGCGACCAAATGTTGTCCCCACGTTTCTTCCAAGCAAGATAACCAAACACAGCAGGGCAGATGTTAGACATAACACTTCCTAATAATAAGGGAAGACGGAATGATGCATTCCTTCCTCTTGCACATCCGTATCACACCATTTTCCAATTTCTCTTGGTTCCCTTGCATTCAGGTTATTATGGCATGGACACTACTCTTAAACTTATCCCAATGCCTGTAAACAGTGGGCTACCTCTTTCAAACGATGAGACACGACCCAAGCTTCCACAAACACTGCTGGAGTCCATTGTGCAGTCTCCCTGCTCAATAAAGGGCAGTGGCCACTGCCCCTCTCAGCTTTTCTTTCCCTTTGCCTTTCTATTTAGGACACTTGAAGTCAAATCTTCACATTGACAATTTGCCAGCACCAGGAAAACGGCAGTGACTACTATGTGTTACCACTGCAATTAAACCTACTGCTCCCTTTCTCAGGTGCTGAGGACTCTGGGCTGACAGAAATTCAGAAACTTGATGTCCACACACAGACACTGCTCAGTTTGCCTACCGATCAGTCAGTGACACAAAGCATGACCTGCCATATGCCACTCCTCACATCATGCAGGGAACTTCAGTCTATTTCAGTACAGTTGGGTTCAAATTGTCACCTCTTGACAGATGTCAAAAATTTGCACCATCCTGTCCATCATCAGCTTCCTGTCCAGCTCCCTTGCGCTCAGCAGCGGCCCCAACCTTCCAACGATGATCCGGTCAGGAATGTTTATTATCTGTACAACATATCCCAAGCTCCAATTAGCATTCTAAGGACAGCTCCATAGATGTTGGAACAGATCAAACAGTCGATCCATCAAATAATTCATTTCAGGTTGGCTGGATTTCTTTTACTCGATGATGGTATACAACATTGTTGATCCATTAACAGTTCAGATTTCAGTGGACTGGATTACTCCGTCCACATTCTTTCAGTGTAGTGGCCACCAGCAAACAATTGCCAATTTTATTTTTTCTCCACCTCCTTTCCTACACCAGCCATGTTGTGCATGTGGCATTCCACCAACACTAAGAAGTTTGTTGTGTACACTGTTCCAACTGGACGACCTGGTGTTAGCAATCGCTACAGACACAAGCTGCTGTGTTTGCATAAAGCACCAGGTGCCATTTCTCCAATGGTGGTCATGAAGCCAAACAAAGTTGTCCCTGGCCCCATCCTGCAGGTACCAACATGGCAGACATAGGCTACCCAGGGAACATGGCCTTTTCTGGGCAGAGCTGTTCCAAATTAAAGTGTGGCCCAAAGTTTGGTACTTGTGAACATTACTTATTGTGGTATTGGAATTATCTACATATCATATTTTTTAGATCGCCGTCAAAACTCACAAGTGCGACCAGTAACAGAATTTCACGAACTGACTTAAAATACCTGAAACAATGGTGAAAACACACATGGCCCGCCTGTTGTGGAGCGGAGGAAAGCAGCAAAGAAGATTCCAAGTGAACGCAACCACTACCTTACCAAAGACGTGCATCTGGTAAACAGTTGCACAACAGAAAGTACTACACCAACGAAAGGCAACTTGCTTCGATACAATACAATGGCGATGCTCTGGCCATGACATAGGATACTGGCTGCTGAGCACAACAACTAGTAACGATGCTCACAACTATGTGACAGTGAGCAGGGCATATCGTTCGCTCATCACCTGATACTCTCGGACATATCCATTCAGCAAACTCTTTGGCTGATAGAAAGACACACTGTTGGCCTCAAGGAGCCGATAAGGATAATCCCGTCTCGAAACAAACCTGCAGAGGTGCACTGCACAATCGTCAAAAAAAATCCCTGGTTCCAACACTGCCTGTCAATCAAGTCCGTTCTGCTGCAATCATCAAGACATGGAAACGCAACCAAGACTTGAAACGCACGAAGACCTGGACAATGTGTGTGATCTGGGCACATGCAACACCCCACAGTCCGATCAAGAACAGGCACAAGGCAAAGCTCAGCCCCCGTCCCTCACCCCTGATGTCCCGGATAGTCAAGCAGCTCGATTTTGGCACCCCGCTCGTTGCACCATAGCGTCCTGCCCAGCACGACGTCGCCAATCTTGTATGGCGCCTCGTACTTGTCGATGCCCTCAGGCTCGCTTGACACGCTCGGTGCGTCGCCCTCTGCCTCGATCTCAGGCTCCACAATGTCCGACAACGTTCCGTCACTGGCATCTGACTCTGTGGGGGTGAAAGATATGGTGCTGACCTCCATGGTGCCCAGCTCTTCTTCACCTGCCTCAGCTCCTGCACAATTCCATTGATTAAACTGAACTGCCATTCCTTGCATTCCGCATGCAGCAACACAAGTCATGCTTCACATCATTGGTTCATGCATGCATGAAGTAGAGTAACTGTGCACATCGGGCCCTAACTTTCTCCAATCGACTTGTACTGATTCCACCTGTCCAGCAGCAACAAAACATGGCCCTGGCAGCTTGCAAGCAATCACCACTATTCAATCACAACATAACAATAATGGAATATGCCAATGATATAACCACAAAATTCCAGCACAAATCCACACATGTGGCCCTGGCTGCCCCAACCAAGTTTGGTGGAACCATCTCCCACTATGGTCAACACAGCTGCACGCGCCCAATCGTTGTTGTTTCAAAACCATTCGTTCCCCAATGCTTTTAACTGCCGAGCTGTCACACTTGCAATAGGCCAGTGAACACACAGACACTCCTGCAGGCCAGTAAGCCTCCCAGTCATGGACAAGACAGTCCATAGCATTGTACTCCGAAGGAAAGAAGTACAACAATAGTTGACTTCATCCAGAGGCGAAATTTGTAACTAAGTCCACCTGGAGTTGGCATTGCTGCGCTCTGATGTTCTGTTATCCTGTGATCTCACTCTGTGGTCCATAGGAGGGGACTTGTCCCATGTCTGGAGTGTTCCATATCATTTGCAAATAGATTTCGCGTCAAATCTGGGCAGGTACCTGGGCTGAGCCTTAAGCAGGATTTCCAGGATCCAGGACATAAGCTGCCAACTTTTCAAGCATGCCAATTCAATTTCAACATCAGAACTTGAGTGGCAGACTTTTGAGGTATGCAATTCAGTTGCTCAAACAAGTCCCAGAAGTGTTGAGTCAGGGGCCTGAAATTGGAGTCTCTCATGGGCCTGAAATTGGTGTCTCTCATGCTTACAGGAGGGCCCAACACAAACAGGGACCGGTTCTGCGACAGGGACATTGCCATTGTTCACTACAAGTGTGTTGACAATGTAATGCCTTTCAACTGTGGTGGGAAATATGACAGTCTACAGATTTGAATCAATTGTATTCACATTTGCAAACACAACAACAACGGTGACAAGTCGCACTGCGAGTGCAGCCTCCCTGCCACCCACACCCACATCCAGCAACTCAGCATTCCAGAGCTGCCAACGTTGAACTTCGTTGGGTTGTCTAGAAAGACACCATTCTCGTTGCCACAGAACCGTTCGCAGTACCCGGGCTTCAATCAATGGCACCTGGCTTGCAACTTGGTGCAGGCAGGAATCGGCATGCAAAGGGCGGTTGGGGTAGGGCAATGACGGCTTGTTGTCCAACACCCCTCCAGCGTTTGGGCATTCCCCCAGAAAATGCCACAAGGCCCACCACACCTTCAACATCGCTCTGTCTCAACAGCATTGTCTCCAAGTGAAACAGTGACTGCACTCAGAGAGACTCCTGTATCTTCTCTCACACCATGCAACATGGCCCCAAATAATTTCCTGCCTGGGCGGGGTCGCCCATTGCAAGCTAGGCGCCTTCTCTGTTAGAGGCCAACTTTTCGTGCCCAGTGAGCCTGCACGTTTCCCTTGTGATGGGAATGTCCCAACAAAGTGAATGCTGCCATCGCGGCGTTTCGTGGGGGCACACACGCAAACATGCACGGGGTTTCCACCTCCATGCCACATCAAATCATGCAAAGCTCTGCCCGCCCTTTGTTCCCTGTGAATCATTCCCCTGCGAGGGTCTGCACTGCGAGCGCAACCTGGCCCTTGGCGACCATGGCAACGACAAATGGGACATTCCGAATCCTGCCTCATCTCCCGACATTGCCTTGCCACCGCAAGACCGTCTTTTGCAATTTCCCCACCAAGGCACTCAAAGGATCCGCACACCAACAGGGCTATCACCGCGTCTGCGGCTCCAATGTGCCCATCATCCTCGACAGCGAACACCCCACATCATCTCCCCACACCACGGACAACCGTGGCCATGATACATTCTGTTGGATCTTGCATTGCGGGTATAGCATGGACGGTGGCATGCGCGCTTTTGTCGTGACACCAGATGTAGGTAATCATCATCATCATCGCCACCGCGGACGACAACCCCTCCACACACTCGCTTGCCAGGGTACCCCCTTCTCACGACCCCTTATCTTTTGCGCACGATGACAAGCCACATCAACATATCATGTTCTCTCCTTTGCATCCTCCCTGTTTCGCATCGCGCCTCCCGCTGAATCTCCCTGAAGGTGGAGGAAGCACGGGATGCCTCGCCATTCCGTCCTGTAACAATCTTACCCACCTGCCACGGCGGCCACGCCGGCCACCTCCACGTCGCTCCCCTCCCCTATGGCCCCTCTCGCCACGACCCGTCGCCACGACACAATCCTGCGCCCATCCCTTCCACCCTCCGCCGCCGCCGCTCGCCTCGATGGCCAGTGGCCCCCGCACCGGCCCGCCCTGCCGCAGGCGGGGATCGATGGCAGCAGGTCGGCGGCGCCGCGGAGCGCCTGGGAGGAAGGGTTCATCTCGAAGGCGGGAGGGGCGCCCCGGTGGCCCTGGCACCGCGTGGCGGAGCGGGGTGGGTCTGAGCGGGTTGGAGCGCGGGGCCGGCTCCCCGAGCGCGTTCGGGCAGTCAGGCGTTGCGCATTACTAGCACTAGTGGATTAGTAGTAGGGGAGGCTTTTGATTTTGCTCATGCGTTTGATTATGTCGACGCAGGCAGGCAGGCAGGCTCGAGTGACTGGGGACCGTAGGCCCGAGTACGCACACGGCAACGGTTTTACAGCCGAGCAAAGGAACGACAGGAAACGTGTCCCTTATATATCCAGTCCGTTCATCAACGTCGCTGATTCGATTCCTATTGGCTCATCACCTTCTAAAGCGTCCAACTATTGCTAATACTCAATCAGTTCTGGTTACAACTGTGGTTCTGTGAAGCTGGAGCGCGGAGCAGGTTACCCCGAGCGCAGTGGGGCCGTCGGGCGCTGTGCATTAGTAGGGGCCGGCTTTTGTTTTGGGCTTTATTTGTGTGTTTGATTATGTGTTAGTAGCTGATTTGAGATCAGCGAGGTATGTAGTGTTCAATGTGCCTTCTGCTGTCTTTGGTGAACGAGTTTCGCCTGAGTCTGCCGAACCTGACACCTTTTTACACCCTTTCATTTTCGAAAGTGTACCACATACCCTCGAAGTGAACGACGCATCCTTGGAACCGGGATTGCGCGCCAAACCTGATGCCAGAGCCGTGATCTGATTTGATGGTTCACGGGGACTCCACATGAACACCTACACACAGGGCGGCAAAACAGGAAATGGCAACAGTACATCGGCATTTGCGAGCACGACGCCCTGACGCAAGATGTGGCCAATCCACATACGTTTCCCGACATTATCGTTCTTGTCACGCCAGCAAGCAAACCTGTTTTCTGCTCCCTGGCCACAGCACAACATCTCACGGTGCTGGGCCTCGGGCCAATACTCGGCACCGCGCTCGAGCGCTCAACACCAGCACAATGATCTCAAGAATAGTTACAACAATTTGTTTCTTCCCCGTATACAAGGCCCCTCCCCAATCGACCTCCATCCGCCAACGCCATCCGCCACCACCCGTCTTCCGCCCCGGCCCTCTCTCCAATGGTCGCTCCGCAGTGCGCCGCCGTCCACTCCACGAAGCGGCGTGCACACACACAACAATCTACTGAATTCCCGCCCCAAATCGGCGCTCCTGCGCCCCCAAGCCCCAGCCCATCCCCGACACAAAGAATGAAAGCAGGCCGCCAAGGAGGCCAGTCCACTTGCCCAACCAAGAATCATGACATGAAGGCAAACGCAACGAACGGCAATTCAAAAGCACAGCGCGGGCATGCCCGGATTCCAACAACAACGCGTGCAAGGCTTCAATAAACGCAGTCTGGGGGCCGCAGCTGACACTTTTCATCGTTTCGACAACCGCCACGTGCAAGCGCGTGTTCGCTAACAGAGAGGATCTAAACTAAAAAAGCGCGCAGGTCCAACATAAGCATTCTACAATTTAAATTTGGTGACAATTGTGGCCTAAGAACTATGTCGGGGTGCCAGCGGTGACCGTCTTGGCTCCCTGCTGGCCGTCCAGCTGCAGGAACTCCCCTTGATCTCCTGCGAGCTCCGATCCTAAGCCCTGCTGCGCCCATTCCAGAAAGCTGCCCCAGATGTCCGCGCCTGCAGGGCACCACACAGAAACTGCAGTACACCATAGGCAAGGTATAACGTCCTGCAGTGCAAAGTGATGGAGCGTCCATTGCCATGCTTAAGTGCAGCACACAACCATGCGATGCCGTGATGTGCATTGCAGCAGAGAGTCACCAAACCGAGTTGGTCACCACGAACTTCACAGGGAGCCACAGACTGGGAACATCATGGAAGCCTCACTGACCCACTGCCTGTGGCCAACTACTTCACAACTCGTAGGATTCTTTTGCCCACCAGGCATCAGACACAAATGAGAAACACAAACAGAGAAACAAAACACAAAAATACAACCATAGCCACAACCCCACAGGGACATATGCACAACAAACCACAACATAAACAGACAGACCAAACAAACAATCCAAAATGAGCCACGACGAAAGACGAAAAAAATGAAACAGGAAAACTAACAAAATCAAATGCACACGATGAACAAAGCGCCGCCCAGCACCCTCCCCTCTAAAACCCCACCTCCCTGTGCGTTCTGCTGGTCCTTTTCAAACTGCTCCACCATGCGCGGCGTGAAGTGCTTCTTCGTGCATGAGGCCCCCAGCGGGCAGTAACCCCTCACAAAGTCGGGACACACGGGGGCCTTGGGGTCCACTCGTGAGTGCAGGTAGGGGCAGGGGTCGTGGTAGCACACGCCCTTCCAGAAATGCATGCAGACGGGCATCAGCTCGGGCCTGTACTTGTGCTGCAGTGGGCACTTGGCCTTGTCGCAGCCTGGGAGGCCTCGCTGTCCCCGGAGCCAGGCCACACACACTGCGACCTTGTCTGGATCGTGCACCAGCCTGCGCAGCACAGCAGCACACACAGCGATTCTTCTGACTCCCGTCCATCGCCCATGGAGCTTTGTTTAACACCTTTGATTCTGCACAAGGAAAGGAAGACAAGACGAAAGGCACTTTCAAGGCCTTTTGGGGCAAAGTGGGGGTACTGCGTCCCTTGTCCAAAGAGTGTGCTTCAAGGAGGTGATCGGGCCCACTCCTTCACCCGCGGAAGGTTTGACTGCACTGACTTGTGCTGGACTGCACTGGCCCTCACAGGGGAGCTGGTGCCTTACAGGACGCAAGTTGCTTTACTTCTGCACCCTTCAAGCGCTTGTCGGTGTCGCCTGTTCCAGGCACGGTTGGACATCCAATTGGGTGTGCTGTCCTGACAAATACACTCTTGTCATATAACTGTGCAAAGAAATCGCTCAAGCACCAGATATCAGCAACACAACAATGGCAAGCCAACAGTAGTCCTCAAGAAGTGCACCAGCCCCAAGCCACTGGGCTGTGGAGATGCAGGCATGCAACAAAGGCAGGCACAACAGAATCAACTGTGCACCAACAGTGACGCTGGGTTTGGCATCCGAACGCCTCCTTGAATGGTCTTGACCTGCATCGTCCCGACTGTGCAAGGGCACATGACCCGAACCGCATGAACTGCCTGCAAAGCTCCTGGCGTCCCCGGGGTGCGCTCAATCCCTTCTGCCGATTCGCACTATGCTGTGCTGAATCGCTTGCTATGACCTCCTTTGCAGAGCAGTTGAATGCCTGCACAGCAAAGATCGGCGATCATCAACAATGAGCAACAAAGAGTTCGCCCACCATCACCTGGTTGGCGACTTGACAGTGACTTGTGCTGCCGCAACCAATGCTCTAACTCAACATACGTGCAGACATGTTCAGAGCAAAGGCTGCAAACGCACAGCCACAGCCAACATGCAGACATCCCCTCAGGGACCTTCTCACCTGTTGTTTTGATACCCCCGCCCCTGGCTTGCTACCAGCAACAGCTACATCGTCTGCCTCTCCCACGCACTTCCTGCCCTCCAGCACCTTTGTCTCAGCCTTGCCCAGCAGACTGCCTGTAAATTCTGCGTATCGGACGAGCGTGTTGTTGCCCACCCGCTTGTAAGACACTGAAGCCTCCACACCTGGAGTGCTTGTCCTGCTCCTCTTCTTCGTCATTTTTTGGGGTGTGCCGTAATCGCTGCTAGAGCACGGCGTCCTGCAAGTCCTCTCTGACCGCTCCCCAGCTCCCCTGCCAGCAGTCACCGATTCACCACCGCCATCTGTGCACCGCACCAGCATGTTGTCGCCCACACGCTTGTAACCATATGTGGAGTTGGAGTTGCAGTCGTGCGATGTGCTGGGCACAGCATTCTGGGTGCTCCCACTGATTGAGTCCGCTTCTGATTCCGGGCCATCGACGGGACCTGAAATTATGTCCTGGCTCTGACGATCCCCAGAGTCCCTCCCTTCCACCATTCCACCTTCAATTTTTGCAGTCCCTGCAGATGTCTTGGAAACAGTGGCAGCTGCGCCCTCACTGTTCTCAGTTCTTCTTGGTGAATTTCCTCCTTCCTTGTTGTTCGATTTCGTAGTGGACACTGCAGCGGGTGGCATCAAGCCAACAGGGCACACAAAGCCCCCTTGCTGGAGCGCCGCTGGACTCCAAAAGGTCAAGCCGGTCCATCCAGCAGGTTGTGTTCCATTGACTGCCTCCAGTGCCCTCACTGACTTCCAACCTCCTATGGTCGCTGCAGGAGTGGAGGGCCCAACAACCACCACAGGGCTACATGCCATCAGTGGATGCACATGGGGCCTGGTGCTTGTGCTCGGCGCCGCCCGCGAGTGCTTAGATCCTGGGAATGCCACCTCATCCAATTCGCCAGAGCTGTGGGATGTGTTCCCTGCCATGCTGCCATTAGGACAGCACTCAGAGCCTCGCAGCCCCAACTGCCCCCTGCTGCTGGCGCAGGCACTGTCCCCATCAGAGGATGCCTCAGGCAAGCCGCCAGATGAACAGTCGCTTGGATGCTGATCGGATCCCTCCACACCCTCCTCCTTCAATCTGCCAGGCTCTGTACCATGCCCTGGCGGTCTGGGCAAAGGTGGCGGAGGGTCGCCGGCCGCCACTCTGGGGCTCAACACCTCGTCCTCATCCGGCTCCACGCAACTGCCCGCCAAGCATGACCCCGAAGCAGGCCCCATTCCGGTAAGGCAGCTCAAGGGAGGCGGGTCCTCGTCAAGGAACCTCAAGGCAGGCTTCCCCCCCTCACGCAGCGTGGTCTGCGCCGCCACCACCCGCATCGCCGCCTCGTCCATCTCCTTCAATGACGCCTTGAAATCGGCAGCCGCTTGCTCACCACCATCCCTGTGTGTTTTTCCCTGTTTGCCTTTCCTGAGTAGAGCTTTCCCTGGAGCAGGGCCCTTCCTCCTTTCCCGCTGCGCCGCGATCCTCCTAAGCACCCCGCGGCCGTGCTTCAGGCCTCCTTTCCCTCTCGCCTTCAAGGCCCCCGCCTCCGACCGTGCCCTCCTGCCATGGCCCAGATTTCGGGCTGAATGCCTGGGGAGGGCGCCCGAGGCCACCCTTATGAGGGACTGCCCGCGTCTGACGTACATTCCAACGCCCCTCTTCCCTCAATGGCACCAGCCGCAGACAGCGGCGAAAGTCTCTGCAGATGTGGGCAATCGGGCAAGTCAAGCATCGATTGCAGCCCAACTTGGGATGCACAGGCATCTGGCAGCCGTCCGCAGGTTGGCCATCCCGCCTGGATCAGCTGGCTGGAATCACGACTGGGATCGTCGACCTGCGTCCGTGTCGTCCAAAGAATCGCCCCACACAGCACGGCAGCGGTGACCTTGCCAGAGGAAGGGCCCAATCATCGCCCACAGGCCCGTTGGCTATCAACGCCACCACGCAGCGGCGTCATGCCTTGCTAGGCTCCGTTCAAAGGTGCAAGCGCGGCCCTTGAACCTTGCAGACGGCGACGGGCACACACGTCCACACATCGCGAACGTGGCCTGCCATGCGAGGCCCTCCTCCGCGAAACAAGAACAGCGTGCGATGCTCACCGCCTCCGCCGGTGCCTCTAGCCTCCCCTTGAAGAGGCGCCGCCACTGCGACTCTTTGCTCGCGGATGGGGTGCCCACGACACATACGATCCTACTCTACTTCATTTTTCCTCAGAAGGACAACTGCCGCTGGTCCAAAACGGCCCGGCAACTAAGGCCTCTGCGTCAAACTGGACGAGCGCACGGCGATGGCCTCCGCTCGCATCTCCAACCCCACCAGGCGAGCAAGCGGCTCCCCCACACAGCAACGCAGCGCGCGCATCGGGCCAGCGCCACGGCCGTCGCAAGGCCCATCACACGAAATCGGGTCACCGGACCACCGAGTCGGGCGCCCGACTGCCCTCCCCGTCAGGACGCCACCGCAGCGCGCAGCGCTCAGCCGATGCCGCAAGCCACAGCCCGCCTCGACGCGCCGCGATCACCGCTCCCACCAAAAACAGCACGTCCCACGATCCTGGCGGGCACCGCGACCCGTCAGTTTCCCCCCACCCCATCCCCGCCCTCCCCTCGTGTTATGTCCCTTTCCCGTTTAACCGGAGACTCTGCACCATCTTCTCACAGCATGAAAAAGACTCTCACGCACATCTGCTCGGCAGGGGGTGCCCTTTGCACGACCTATTCCTCCTTGTCTCCGCAGCAGCTCTTCCCCCAAACCCCCTCCCAAACCCCAACGCCAAACTCCCCCTCACCGTCAACGCCAAAGCTGCCGCTCCCACCTGATGAACGCCGCTCCAGCCCAAGGACCAGCGCCTCGATGCCCGGACCCCGGTCACACCCCAGACCCCGCTGGGCCCCTCCCCCGAAGGCGTGGGCCCCAGCCTTCCTCGCGGCGGTGCCGCGGGATGCGATCGCCCCGGCTGGGCAGAGCGCGGATCGATCGGTGCGGCTGCGGTGGCTGAGCCGCCCGGCTGAGTTCTGGGACCTTGGGCGAGGTGTGGACGCCGTGCTGCAACGGCGCGCCGCGTGCGCTGCCCACTGGACGGCCAGGCGCCACCTCAACGCCCTTCTGCCAAAATTGCGAAAAATTGGGGCTTGGTGGGGTCATTAATGGCCCCCCCCCAGCCCGCGTGGCAACAGTGGTAAAAAAACAAATCATTCAACCATACTTAGTTAGGTACATTTAAAGATATATTCAAAGGATTATTAACGAACGTATACCAACTCAAAAACAGGAAAACAGGAGACAGCTCTAAAACTGGAAGAAAAGCACAGACAGAGAAGAAACCAGAACAATAGAAACAGGAAAAAATCATGAGATGTGAGGAAACAAGGACATGGGAAAAAAGCGAAGGTGAGCAGGAGTGTCGTTTGCTCCACGTTGGTGGTCGAGGTGGAGTGGGTGGGACTGCTTGTGGGAGGCTCGCGGGGCGTGGCGGTTCTGGACTTCGCCCTCTCGCGGCGACAGGTAACGCGCTCCGCCTTGTGCTCAGCGACTCGTCGGAAGCGGCGTCGAATCCTGTCGTGCGCATGTTTTCCAAACCGGCCAAGCACCCAGCGTGCGTCCGCGCTTCCCGGCGTCGTCAATCAGATAGAGATTTTCAATCGGGCTGCTCGGACTGTGGACCTGTGATCATCTTTCAATCGATCGAAGTGGGACGGCGGGGAGCGTTGTCGGTGCATCTCGTGGTAGCGAATCTTCGAGTGCGTCCACAGTGGAGCCGAACTCGGGCCCTCGAAAGAATACAGTGCTGTCCACCTTGGCAGACGCGAGCGTGTCAACAGGAGGCGGAGAAGATCTTTGGACCTTCGTTCCAATACCTGAAAGCACCTCATGAAAAGGACGCACACGCGTTCGGAACTAACAGATGTTTTGAGAATTTTCGCACATTGAAAACGATAAACAGCACAGCATCCGAGCGCAACAGGAGAGCGCCACAAGCACAGGCGATCTTCGGAACCAGCCCCAAAATGTTACACGACCGTTTCACTTGCAGGTGTCTTTAGTCCCCGCCCACTGCGTCGAGACACCGGCCGCTGGGATCCCATCTGTCCTGTGGCCCCGTCCAGGCCCTGGCCTGGACCTCCGGCGTGGCCATGAGTTCGGGGGAGGGCAAGAAGGATGATCGGACGGCGTCGGCTGACGTGGGCGATGTGAAGGCAGGGGCCATGGCACCATCCGTGTTCAACAGTCCATGGGTGTGTGTGGGTGTTGCGAGCGACGGATGCTGAGACTCAATCCATAGTTGGAATATGCTTTTACCAAGACGTGACAAACACCACCTTTGGTACTGGAAACAAAACTGGGCACGGATGGATCCAAAAGCGCTGTTTGTTCATTGCAACTGCAGCCAGTGAATCACCTCAAATCTCCCAGGCACCCATGCCAAAGGAGTATGAGGACACGTTGCACCATGCGGATGTCTCAAATTTGTGGATGGGAACTGGAAAAGACCGCATCGATGTGCAGACCAGCTCTTTCCCAAGTGTGAGGGTGATAAGAAGCGTAGAAGAGGACTGCAGAAGCTGACAGCAGCCGCAAGACAAGGAATTGTTCAGTGGGGCAACATGTCAACAGCACATGAAAACGAATCCTTTCATTATCACCTGTGTGGTGCAGGGTGTTTATTTTGTGCTGTGCTGTGAGAAAGTTGCAATCAAAGGAATGTGCAATTGCAACAGAAAGAAACCAGATTACAGTAAAGTGGAAGGGGGCTTGCATATCGTGCTGGTGCAAATCGTTGCAACTTGCATTGCACTTTGAAGCATTCAACCCCTTGTGATCACTTGGTCATTATGGGCCATATGGTGAACTCTTGAGCAATAGAACAATTGGCTGTCTGCAATTCAGCCATCTTGCTCTGCCAACAATAGATGCGATGCAATGTTTGTATCAATAATGAAAGGAGAAACAGCAAGCTGGGTCCCCAGCAGCAGGGAACGGAAATTTTCAAGTGCCTTGCCAAAGCGCTACCCTCATCAAAGGAAAAGGCACTCCATTGCTTGCCATGGTCAATGGCCCTGCCTGAGCATTGACTGAAACACTTTCCTGTGCAATCCAGCTTCGAGCGGTAGCCGTTATTCTGGTCGTGGTGGCAGCCTCACGTTCCACTGCTTTTGGC